AATTTGTTAAAATTTTTGATAGAAAATAATCTTCAAAGAATATTTTCCGCCACCTTTACCCTTTTACAAATAATTGTCACCATACCAATGACCACGACGGAAGCGGAAAGATGTTTTTCAACGTTAAAGCAAATCAAAACATTCTTAAGAAGTTCAATGAATGAAGAAAAACTTACAGCCTTAGCAATGCTATCTATTGAAAAACAATTTATTGAGAGTATTCCAGATTTTAATGAGGCTGTTATTGACACGTTTGCCGCAAATAAGAACAGAAGAATGGACTTTATGTTTAAACACTGTACACAATAATAAAGTATAAATAAGCATTTTGTTTTTTCTTTAATACACACAAATTTGATATTTTATAATCTTTTAAAACCTTAAAAAAGGAATTTTAATTTTAATTATTCAAAACGAGTTGTTAGACTGCATACTGCAAGTCACCCAAGAAAACATAAAAAAAGAAATTGTGCAAGCCGAGTATGTCGCAGTTATGGCCGATGAAACAACGGATGTGGCCAATTGTTTTCAAATGGCTACAGTGTTTAGGTACATTTTACCGGAGGGCGCACCAGTTGAGCGTTTTTGGAACTTCATTAATCCTCCCGATCACGATGCAGTTAGCCTTTCAGAGTGCATCAAAATTAATTTGAAACAAGTGCTGGATAAACCGGAGAAACTCATTTCGCAAAGTTACGATGGAGCGAGTGTGATGAGCGTACAAACTCTCGTCAAGCAATACTATAAAAATGCTTACTTTGTTCACTGCTACGCTCACCAGCTGAACCTGATTTTGTCCCAAGCAACGAGCCAAAATCAACAAGTGCGAGTATTTTTTTCAAATTTAAGTGACATCTCCGATTTTTTTTCTCATTCCCCGCAACGAGTCGCAGTGTTGGATCAAATTGTTGGTCAAAGATCTTCTGCTGCCAGATGGAATTTTAAAAGCAGATCCATAAACACTGTACACGACTATCGCAAATTGTTAATAGAGTGCATGGAAAAAATAGAAGCGACTTCAAAGCAGACTGCTACGATCAATCAAGCTACTGCTATATGCCGTATGCTACAGGATTCAAAGTTTGTGTTCTGGCTGACTGTGTTTCATCGAATATTGCCGCATGCCGATATTTTATATAATCAATTGCAAAAAACAACGACAGATCCTGAAGAAATAGACGCCGCCATAATATTGTTCGGAAACTCAATTCAAAAAGAAAGGGACGGTTTGGAAACAATTTCAAGTGAAAATAACACCACAACTCAAACCAAAAGGCACCGTTTGAATGAAGACCCGCATATTAGTAGAACAGTAGCAGCCAATGAAGTTTGCGATACTATAATTAAACACGTCATAGACAGATTTTCTTTCACAAAACATTTAAACGCGGCTTTTCTTTTTTTATCCGACAAATTTCCACAGTTCGAAAAGGATTTTCCGTTGCAACATTTAGAAATAATAGTGGAAGCATACCCGTTCTTGGATACAATTCGCCTTCGCACCGAACTGGAATTAATATACCGCAGAACCGATTTTAGAAACATGAGTGGTGCTATAAATTTGTTGAAATTTTTGATAGAAAATAATCTTCAAAGAATATTTTCCGCCACCTTTACCCTTTTACAAATAATTGTCACCATACCAATGACCACGACGGAAGCGGAAAGATGGTTTTCAACATTAAAGCAAATCAAAACATTCTTAAGAAGTTCAATGAATGAAGAAAAACTTACAGCTTTAGCAATGCTATCCATTGAAAAACAATTTATTGAGAGTATCCCAGACTTTAATGAGGCTGTTATTGACAAGTTTGCCGCAAATAAGAACAGAAGAATGGACTTTATGTTTAAGCATTGTACACAATAATAAAGTATAAATAAGCATTTTGTTTTTTCTTTAATACATACAAATTTGATATTGTATAATCTTTTAAAAGCTTAAAAAAGGAATTTTAATTTTAATTATTTAAAACGAGTTGTTATACTGCATACTGCAAGTCACCCAAGAAAACATAAAAAAAGAAATTGTACAAGCCGAGTATGTCGCAGTTATGGCCGATGAAACAACGGATGTGGCCAATTGTTTTCAAATGGCTACAGTGTTTAGGTACATTTTACCGGAGGGCGCACCAGTTGAGCGTTTTTGGAACTTTATTAATCCTCCCGATCACGATGCAGTTAGCCTTTCAGAGAGCATCAAAATTAATTTGAAACAAGTGTTGGATAAACCGGAGAAACTCATTTCGCAAAGTTATGACGGAGCGAGTGTGATGAGCGTGCAAACTCTCATCAAGCAATACTATAAAAATGCTTACTTTGTTCACTGCTACGCTCACCAGCTGAACCTGATTTTGTCCCAAGCAACGAGCCAAAATCAACAAGTGCGGGTATTTTTTTCAAATTTAAGCGACATTTCCGATTTTTTTTCTCATTCTCCGCAACGAGTCGCAGTGTTGGATAAAATTGTTGGTCAAAGATCTTCCGCTGCCAGATGGAATTTTAAAAGCAGATCCATAAACACTGTACACGACTATCGCGAATTGTTAATAGAGTGCATGGAAAAAATAGAAGCGACTTCAAAGCAGACTGCTACGATCAATCAAGCTACTGCTATTTGCCGTATGCTACAGGATTCAAAGTTTGTCTTCTGGCTGACTGTGTTCCATCGAATATTGCCGCATGCCGATATTTTATATAATCAATTGCAAAAAACAACGACAGATCCTGAAGAAATAGACGCCGCCATAATATTGTTCGGAAACTCAATTCAAAAAGAAAGGGACGGTTTGGAAACAATTTCAAGTGAAAATAACACCACAACTCAAACCAAAAGGCACCGTTTGAATGAAGACCCGCATATTAGTAGAACGGTAGCAGCCAATGAAGTTTGCGATACTATAATTAAACACGTCATAGACAGATTTTCTTTCACAAAACATTTAAACGCGGCTTTTCTTTTTTTATCCGACAAATTTCCACAGTTCGAAAAGGATTTTCCATTGCAACATTTGGAAATTATAGTGGAAGCATACCCGTTTTTGGATACAGTTCGCCTTCGCACCGAACTGGAATTAATATACCGCAGATCCGATTTTAGAAACATGAGTGGTGCTATAAATTTGTTAAAATTTTTGATAGAAAATAATCTTCAAAGAATATTTTCCGCCACCTTTACCCTTATACAAATAATTGTCACCATACCAATGACCACGACGGAAGCGGAGAGATGTTTTTCAACGTTAAAGCAAATCAAAACATTCTTAAGAAGTTCAATGAATGAAGAAAAACTTACAGCCTTAGCAATGCTATCTATTGAAAAACAATTTATTGAGAGTATTCCAGACTTTAATGAGGCTGTTATTGACAAGTTTGCCGCAAATAAGAACAGAAGAATGGACTTTATGTTTAAGCATTGTACACAATAATAAAAATTATTTGGCATTTTGTTCTTTCTATAATACACACAAATTTAATGTTTAACAGGGTTGCCACCGATTTGTCTAAACCAAATTCCCTGACTTTTCCAGGAATTGCCTGACCTTTCCTGATTTTTTCCAGACAAAATGTGTTTTCTTTTTGGTTTCCTGACCCTCAATGATTTTTTCAACTGGAGTGTTGGTTTTTAAAATTTTAAGTAGGGGGCCATTCAAGTATTAGATAAGCAGTAATTTTGAAATTTTTAACCCTTTGTCAGCAAAATTAAGTAAAGCTTATCATTAAAAATATACAAAAAAAAATGGTGGTTATGTAATACTTAATTTATTTTTCTCTTGGTGGAGAATTATAACGATTAATTAAAAAACTAAACTTTTATTGAAGTTTATAAAATTTAAAAACATTAACAAAAAATCAATACTTCTTATTAAAAAAACAAACGAAAAATTTTCTGTAGCTAATTTTTTCGGGATATTTTTTAATTTAGGTTTATGTTTCTTGGGTTTTTATTACAGTAATTTTCTGTTCAATCTGAAAATAACAGAAATAATGAAATTTTTAAAAATGTCTCTGAAATTTTGTCTGCGGCATGTCTTGTTTATCAAGTTGATGAGTAAATATTTGATAGTACAAAAAAAGATTTTATTTCTTTTATCATTTTTTGCAGTTTTTATTGAAGAAATTGATTTATTCTGTTTATTTTCTAAAGCAATATTATTATTAATATTATTATCATGTAAAACTGTAACTTTTTCAAGCATACTCTCTAAAAAAGAATAAGTCAAAAATGACATATTTCATAAGGAAAAAGCATGCAGTCACTAATAACTGTAGTTCACAGCAATTTGTATCCAGAAAATTTAACAGCCAATTCCCATGTAAAATTGTCCCCTGAATCCGAAAAGACCGTCATAGCAGTTTTTTGAGATAAAGTCAATTCCATATATGGAAAATTGAATAAATCTTAAAAACTGTCCTACTTTTATAACTTTTTACGACATAGGTATTCGGATTCAGCTGACAATTTTACATAGGAATTAACTGCTAAATATCCGGGATATAAATTGCTGTTGACTAGAATTATTAGCGGCTGCTTTTTCGCTATGACATTTTTGACTAATTCATTTTTAGAGAGTAGTATTTTTCATCTGGTTCTTTTTTTTAAAGAAAATTTGACTGCTACGACTGCTTGCAAATCAAACATTTGGCGTGAAACGGTTTTTTATCAACAGGAACTATGATTTTTCAAAGTCTTTTACTGATTAATTAATTAATTAGTTTATTAATTATGCTTACCATTTACAAAATAAACAAATATTAATCACCCTAAACATAATTTTTTTTTTAATGCAAATTGTGTTGACCAGTTTTATTTATAAATAACCAATTCCCTGACCGACTTAGGAATTCCCTAACTGTAGATTTTTTTGCCAATTCCCTGACATTTCTAGAAAATTTAAATTCCCTGACATTTTCAGGTTTTTCAGATGAGTGGCAACCCTGTTTAAGCTTTTATAAATTTGTAAACCTCCTTTATTATACATTACAAGCAACTTTCTTCTTACCTTATTGTATTCTAAATCCCAGCATTTCACCTGCCTGTCCTCCCCACAACTGAACAAGTAAGGATGCCTCGAGCTCACTGCCAGTCCCCTAACAGTACTGACATGGCCTGTGAGGGAAACTTTCAACTGTCCACTGGCGAGATCCCAAATTTTGATGATCCTATCGGCTGCGCCAGTCGCAAACCACTCATTTCCCGGCTCCACTGTTGCACATCTTACCCACCCCAAATGCCCCGCGATGACTCTGTACAACTTCCATGGGGCATGCCATTTGGGTTTTGGCATGCTAGGGATTTTTTTCACTATATTCGCTAGTTGGTTTTGATTCTGATTGGTTGGGTTTCTCGTCATCAGACTGGTATCAGTATATGGCACCACGGCTCCTTCAGAAGACTTACTTTCAACTTCGTTTGGAGCTGGTGGGTTCGGGCCAGCTTCCGTCTCTCTTATATTCTTCATTGCCTGCATTTTCTTCACATCATCGAAAACTTGCCCGTATAAATCACGCGCCTTGACGCTTTTTCGCACTTTATAAGCTAAATCGTCGACTGAAGGTAAAACTCCTTGATTCGATAAAAACATATCGTGCGATCGCTTCAGCGATCTGAACACCAAAGTGTGTACAGAATGTCTCTGCACGTCATCAGTCATTTTGTTGGTTTAAATTTGCTTCATTTACACATAAAATTAAAATTATACAGGTAGAAACGTTTGTTGATGTTTTCAAACCTAACCTCAATTCGCAAAACAAAATTTGACATGGTCGATAGACATTTAAAATATAGAATATATTTTGTTCTAAAAACGTTTTAAAAAAAGTAAAATTGATCAAATATATTTTTTATAAAATACAGAAATGATTTTAATCGAAGTGTCTTTTATATTATTAATATTATGAATTATTTATTAAAGAAATTTGTTTTTTATCTATAATTTAAACGTCTTTGTCAAAATATAACCTAATATTTATAAATTTCTATTTTCTTTCTATTTTTTATTTATTAAAGGACTCTAATGTTTTGTCAAAGTTAAGGATATGTTGTAAAAATAAATAATAAATTTAGGTAAGATTAAAAATAACTTGGTCAGCTGTAAGTAAAAATTAAGTTTTAATTGCAGTTATAAAGACACGTTTCCAAAATTTTGAATAATAACTAATTTCTCAAATTATATTTTTCGAAAAGTAAAATTAAATTGGGTCATTAAATTTGACGATTTTCAAATTAAATCGATAAAAGTGTCGGAACGCAAGCGCAAGCAATATGCTTTGTGTTAATACAGTCCAAAATATTTTGAGATGTTTATTTTAATTTAAAATGTACTTCTTAACAGAATTCGTGGATTTGTGAATTAAAACCACCATCAAGATGGCATGTTATAGTTCCAAAGTGCTTTTGGGTTTTGAGGATGAGTTGGTTACCGACAAAAATAAGGGACAACTTAATTTTACTGTAAATAAAATTGGAGGAAAGCCTGTGAGTATTTTTTTCACTAAGTTAGGGTTATTTATTATTTATTACTTAATAAAAAAATTAAAAAAAGTTTTGTGGAGGAGCTGGGATTTGAACCCAGGACTTTCAGCATGCGAAGCAGACACTCTACCACTGAGTTACACCCCCTTGTGATAAAATTGAGATTTAGCTGGTTTTTGTTTGTACTTCTATAGAATTAATCGAGTTTTTCTTTTTTAGGATGTTCCAAGTAATGTAAAGTTAGAATGTCCAGTTTGTACCCTATGTCAATTACCAAGGCCTTTGATTGTTCAAATTTACGCACCATTGGAAAATTCTAATTACCATCGAACTCTATATTTGTTTGCTTGCATTAATCCAAATTGTTGGAATCATAATGAAAGGTAAAGCTTCTATTAAACATATGATAACAATTGTTTTCAACTTTTGCTTGAACTTGATTGTTTTTAGTTCTAGGCTCCACACAGATAATAAATCACACCCCAAAGTCCCACTTGACATTTGAATAGAAATAATTGAGGTTATATATCTGTCACTTTTTCTTATATTTTAAAAATAATACAATATTAGTATATTGTGCAACTAATGGTAGACCACAATATTTTATTTAACAACCACAATAAATTTAAAGCGAATTTTATTTGATTTTTTTATCTGACATCTGACAGGTATCATTTAGTTTTATAACCTCACATTTTTTAGAATTTAATTTAATAGTATATTATGCGAACTTCAGCCTGTCCCTTGCGGCCTTGAATTTACGGTGAATTCACATAAAATAATTTTCACATTTAGTATTATTTTACAAGAAAGGCACTTTATTTTAACGATTGTATGACATTTGACAACTGCCAACTAACTTAAAACTAACTTCAGTCTGTGACTAAAAACCTGTAGCTAACATCAGCCCGTGACTAAAACGCCATAAAGCCACAACTTGTCAATGTGTATTTAAAAGGTCACTTCGTCATAAAAACATGTACGATAATGGGCGTTTTAAATGTGGGAGTAGAAAAAAGTCTTAATTTACCTAAAAAACAAAAATACAAATATTTTATTATTTCAAGAAAATATACCATAAATTACCATTAAACTGATATATAGATAACTTTAATTATTTATATCCCTTTTGAGAGTGGAGCAAAATACCTGTTATAACTAAAGTGGCCAGATTCTGTCAAAAAATAGGGGGACATTTTGTGTAAATTAACCTTAATTAGAAAAATGACACAATCAACAGTGATTAAGTAACGTCAAATTTACAATTTGCATTGTATCAATTTTGTAATTAAGGTAAATTTATATTTCTATTTTTTGACAGAATCTGGTCACTTTAGCTAGTTAATACCCCATATTTTACCTAAAGTACCTGTTCCTATTATAACCCCTGTGTAGGTTTATTTACATTAATAAAAAAGTGCTTTGATCAGCCACTACGTTTTTCAGTTGAATAAAAAGTTTTTATTTTGACATTTTTTGATTTTTGTTTGCTTTATAAAATAAATTAAATTAATAATTTAGTGGCTGATCAAAGCACTTTTTTATTGATGTAAATAATAAGTTAACTTAAGTTAACTTATCAAATATTTTTTGAATGAATCTTGTAGCTGGGTTTGCTTGAGAGCACAGACCGTGGACCAATTAGAGAGCAAGGAAGCGAGCGCAAGCGTCAAAATCTCGCGTTCCGATTGGTGCGCAGACGCAGACGACTGGGATGTAGAGGAAGGGGCAGACGATGCGGCCGACAACAACCGATCGAAGCCGAACGAGGAGAACGGAAACTTGGAGGAGGACGACGACGACGAAAGCTGCAGCTTGGAGGATTCTATAAGGTCAAATTTTGGGAGTCTCACTGTGGATGATAGGAACGCCAATGTAGGAGCACAAGGTACAGTTAAAATTTTGAAACTTTTAAAAAATCTGAAAATTATAGGGAAATATTGGAAATGTTGGATTTTTAATAATTTTAAAATTTTTGGGAACTTTAATAAATTTTATTCATCCCCACATAACACAATATGTTTAAAAAATGTTGTCAGGCCGTTTGGACAACAATATTTATAAATGAAAGGTTGATGAAATGTTACAAAGTTTCAGGGAAAAATATTTCTACTCCTATTACGGAATTTGACCGTTCTATTATCACTTTTATCTATGGAATGACATATATTCCATAAAGTGTTACAGAATGAAATATTCTATCATCCTATGACATAATAAACACTCGTGGCGACATCTCTGTTTTTAATATCTAACAAATTTTAGACCGATCCAACCTCACTTTCTTCCAATCAAATGACTTTTCTATGGTATTTTTTGGAAACGTAGAAAAAGTATAGTCTGAAACACGTTTGGAATTGCATATTCCACTCTCTTTATTTTGCCATTTTATGTAAATATTATTTCCTAAACTTATTTTAATAACTTCAAACGAAAAAAATATGAAGTAAAAAAATGTGGCAATGTTAAAATTTTGACCTCATTTTTTTGTTGCCTTTTTTAGAAAAAAACAATTTAAAAAATTGAGTGAATCACTTAATTTTTTATATTTTTATATATGTATGTAGTATTACTACTTAATTTTTTATATTTTTTATGTATGTGGTATTACTACAGACTGTAGGTTACTACTGTAGTCTACAGTAGTAAGCTACAATTTTGAATTGTAACGATCAAAACATTTTTGGCCACGTTATCGCATTTTCAAGAAAAAATGTCACTCGTAAAAAGAAAAAAATCGATGTTTCTGTCCATTTTTCAAAAATTTCCTACGGGTCAGTGTTGCCAGAGATACCATTTAAATGGTATTTACCTATACCATTTTTTCTTTCTTTATACCTGCGGAATTTTGAGGATACCATTTTCCATTTTTCTACCATTTTCTAAAACAGATACCATTTTTTTGAAATGTCATTTAGATTTTTTTAAATCAACCTTTTTTTGATCTAATGCAAAATAATCTAGAAAACCACATCTCTAATAAATACATATTATATTATATTATATTATATTATATTATATTATATTATATTAACCACGCACATCTCTAATAGCAAGCCCGAACATCTGTTTTTGTTGTTTTTTATTTTTTTTATTAGGTAACCCAATCTGGAGTTTGTGATATTTTACTTTCATATTTGAAAATATATTGTTTTGTTTGTTTTTAATTTTTTTAATGTTTATCGTATAACACAAAAATTAAAACTGTGCTTCCGAAAATATAAAAACAAAAAAACAACAAAGATACCATTTTTTAAGTAAAATACCCATATACCTTATAGGTATATGAAAATACCACTTTTTTAATGCTCTATAGGTACCATATTTTTTATTTTTTCCATCTGGCAACACTGCTACGTGGAAACAATACAAATCTAAGCAAAAAGGAAGAATACCTTATAGGTATATGAAAATACCACTTTTTTAATGCTCTATACCATTTTTTATTTTTTCCATCTGGCAACACTGCTACGTGGGAACAATACAAATCTAAGCAAAAAGGAAGAATACGCGGTAAAGGAAGCTAAAAAAAATTGTCAAAAAATAACGATTTGTGATGGATTTAATGGCATTTATTTGTCAGAATTATAATAAACAATGCTAACAATAAAACGGCATTTTGATGAAATAATTGCCAATGCCACAGATGTGAAAAAGATTAATTGGCTAAAAGATATTTTTGGATTAATATAACCTTAATAATTATTAATGTTTAATGACTTCAGTAAAAGACCCATTCACTATTGGTAAGGTGACCAACTTTCTAAAATGAAAAACCTGGACACATCATGAACGCCCTTCCAAAAAATAAACAAAACTTATTTTATTCAATGTTTATTATTTAAAAATAAAATAAATAAATATTCTCACAAAATAAGTTATATAAAAAAATAACCTCAATAATAAACAAAATAAGTACAAACAGGACCAAATCTACAGAACCAGGACGCATTACCAAAAACCAAAACCTGTCCTATTGGACAAAATTTAAGTATTCACACATATCTTTAAATATTTTTTTATTATTTCATATAAATTTCTGCATTCCTTTTTGGAAGGACAAATTGAAAAATATTATCCAAAAATACATGTATATTTCTATGGAAATATACATCTATTTTTGGATGCTGGGAATTTAGGCACGAGCGAGCTTGCGAGCGAGTGCTTAAATTAATGAGTGTATAGAAAAGTTTATAAACGAGGTGCATACTATACTTTTTCTACGAAAAATACTTATTATTATCTTAAAATGATTTAAATCAAAAAAATTTGTATATATACTATAGAGCGCCATCTATGAAACAATAGGGGAATCTGTGTGTCACCGTCAAATGTCAATTTTTTATATTTTATAAAGGTTATAAATCGAAATGTATTTCTTGAAGATTGACGGTTTTTTCACAGTGAAAATAAAGAAAATGTTTTATAAGCACTTTACAGTGGAGTCCGTGCCCGAATTTAAGTTATAGTTTACTGCCGGCGAAATTTAAAGGTCAGTACAAATTGTTCTGTACAATGTCCATATAAACTTTTCAAATATTGGCGTTGAGAAACTATTTAATACTTTTGTATTAAGATAATAAAATAATTTTCACATTTAGTATAATTTTACAAGAAAGGCACTTTATTTTAACGATTCTATGACATTTGACAACTGTCAACTAACTTGAAACTAACTTCAGCCCGTGACTAAAAACCTGTTGCTAACTTCAGCCCGTGACTAAAGCACCTTAAAGCCATAACTTGTCAATGTATATTTAAAAGGTCACTTAGTGTCATGGAAACATGTACGATAAAGGGCGTTTTAAAGGTGGGAGTAGAAAAAATTATTTAATTTTTTAACAACTTATAATTTCAAGATTTATAAACTCATAACATAACCACAATTACCCCCAAATTTTTGACGTCAAATTCCAAATATAAAAAAACAAACTTATAAGTTTGGACATTTTTAAGAAATTAGTAAAAAATAATTTAAAATCAACCATTTTTATATTTGAGTTCTCTAAAAAACGCCGACAACTGCATTTTAAATAACAAAATATAACTACGAATTCATGGCAACATAATATTATATATAATACATAATATAATGGTATTTTACCGTTGAGTGGAGACTTTCTTAATCAACGCTTTTAATAATGCTAAATGCTGTTTAAATATAAATTATATTAGGTAAAGTTATCATTAGTTAATTTTGCACCAACAAATGTACTTTGAATGTTTTCGAGTACCGAATTGGATCCTTTGGCAAAACATGAAAATGCAACGATTTAGTTCCTGAATTTTATTTACAATTAAAAACAGATAAAATACACACACTAACGTAACTAAATAAGCATTTAAGCGTTGAGTTTCTTAATCAATGATATAAAGAATAATCAATCGAAATCGAGTACCTACTAAACCAGTTTTTTCGTTTTTAACGTGCGCGATTTAGTGAAAAAAACGACCTATTTATTTAAAAATGTTGTAGGTACAGTTCGTACGCTTTAAATGTATTGTTGACAATTCTTAAATTAACACAATGCTATCGTCCACCAGATGGCGCGCGCGTTGCGAAAACCCGATAGTTCTTTAGTTGTTAAAAACTATCTTTTCTTTGGAAAATTTTTGTAACATAAATAAACACATTTTAATTGGACTAGACTTTAATAAAACCCTGACATTTTGTAAAAATATATAACATTTGTCATAAAATAAAAAAAATATCCAATTTGATTGGCAAGTGTGTTTTTAACAATATTTTTACATTTAAAATTAACTACAAACAGATTAATAATTGTTCTTATGCTTCAAAGTTTTTGCTTCTCTTCATCAAAAAATGGGAAACCTTCTCATACGTAACAAAAGTAATCATTGTAGCTGGGGTGACTCTAATTAAATTGCTACCCAAGCCCTTGTAAAACCCCCTCCAACCTTCAAACGCCCACGTTTGCCTGATGCAATCCAGAGAGCCTTTGTAAGTGTAATACTGGTTCTGAAGACGCGTTCTCACCACTTGATATGGATACGTTACACCAGCTGCTATAATTTTTGAGATTGCTGCAAACGTTAAATACTGAACTGTGCCTAATTGCGAGTTCTGCGGTAGGTTGTAATAAGTTCCGTAGGTAGTTTTCATTTCTTCGTAGACTACAAATTGTACTGCACCATGTGAGACTCCAAAAAGACCAGGTACAAAGCCTCGGTAGTACCCCTTAACCCCTTCATTGTGGTATATTTTCGTTAAAGCATCCACCATCCCTGAATAGCGTCTAGATTGATCATTGTGCTGCAAACACAGTCGTGTTTTCACAACCCACAATGGGTTCGTTATCACAAGCGTTAAAGCCCCAGATAAAGCTGCCGCTAAGGAATTCTCCAACGGGCCCAACTCCTCCTTGCTTCTTTGCGCCCATATCGTCCTCGAACTGTTGTAAAACAAAAAGTACAGGCCCCACGAAGCGCCGGCGCCCCAACAATTGGGCACTACGCCTTTGTACAAGCCTCGTAGACCTTCCTCTCGCGCTATTGTGACAAAAGCGTTCGCGATTCCGCTGTACTTCGGCGTGTACTGATGCCTGCCGTCGTGGGCGGCAAACCTGATCTTGATAACGTCCAAAGGGTGCAATGTTACCGTCGAGGTGAGTCCAGCTGTAGTTCCGGCTACGAGGTGCTCGTATCGGAGATGCGAGAATATTTCGAAGTTTTCGGTCACGGAAACCCCTTCGTTTTTAACAGCGGCCATTATTTTCACTGCCTTTTCTGGCTGTTACATCTTAATTATGCTTTATCGAATGCAAACTTGCACATCCTTTTAGAGGTTAGGAATCTTTGACATAAGTCACCTATTGATTGCAGGGTTGCCAGATCGTTTTGTGACATTCTTAAAATGAGGTACATATACAGGGTGTTTCAAAATGTTTATATAAACGCAGGTCCGGAAATGCTTAGTTTTTTAACATTAAAGAAAACGGCTTTTTTCAAATAACTTACAAATATCTTAAATATTATTATTTATACTATAAGGAGCTAATATTAATATTAGCAATTGCTTTCCATTGGCCTTTCTGGAAGCACCTTGAAGAATATTAGTGACAAAAAATGTACGCCACTGACTTTGCAATTTTTATATTTTTTTATGATTAATAAACTTTTTTGTCTTCTCGTGTTTTTTTGTTAGGTTGGTTAATTATGCCAGTTTGACTTAGTATTTTTAGTATTTAAAAATGGTACTTCTGCTAAAGAATTTAATTAAATACTTTGACACTGTCAAATTGACAATAATATTTATTATTGATAATTTACTTGTCAATTATAAATAAAAAGATAATTATGCCAAAAATAATAGCAACGAATTCGAATGTAAAAGCCCTTTTGAGGGCAAAACTTTTGATGAAATTATGCCAAATGCCACAATGGAAGAAAAAGTACATCGCCTTATGGACATTTTTGGAGTAAAAAAGTAACGAATTTGGTTTTATAAATATTACATCACACATTATTTTCACATTATTCACCATTGGACAACATTTACGTTCACAAAAAAATTTAATTTCTTTCATATAAATTTTTTTCAAAGGGAGGATTATTATCCGCTAGGAATACTTTCTCTTCTGGGCCGTAAAGCATGCTATAGGTTGCAACCTATATTTAACTACTTTTTTATATGATTTTACTCATCCAAGCACCACCAAAGCCAAATTAATTGCATTTTTAACCACGAATTTCGACAACTCAACTTGACAACTGCACAATGAAACCTGCAATAATTTATACAGTACCACAATTAGATTTATAACTACATAGCTTAGTTTGTTTTAATCAATGCGACCAACTTGACAACTGTATATACCAACCAAAACCCTAAATTTGCAACGTTGCCGCAGTCCAGATAAAAAAAACTTTACATATACAGGGTGTTTCAAAAAATAAAAAAAGTTTATATCCTCAAATGCTTAGTTTTTAAACATCCATTAATTACGTGAGGCAATTTTGGTGATTTTTTGACTTCCCCTCTCCCCTTGGTAAGATCTCGTGAGATTTTGCTCGACCCCCTCCCTCCTCCCTTAATCTCACGTGAGATTTTTAAAAATGCATGATTTTAATGTAAATAAGTTAATCTGTGATTGATTCCATTAGATTTATTAAAAAAACAATTTGCTTATAATTGTTAACTTAATTTAACCCAGTTTTCCGTGCTTTTTTACACTGTTTGATTCGAAAAGAAAAAATTACGTGATATTTGCCGAGACCCCTCTTCCCCCCACGTGAGATTGGGTGTGGTTTGGCTCGACCCCCTCCCCCCTAAACACCTCACGTAATTAATTGATGCCCCCTAAGGAGAGCTCTAATATTGCTTTCCAGTAGCCTTTCTGGAAGCATCTTGAAGAATATTAGTGACTGACGTTTTTGCAATTTATATATTTTTTTATGATTAATCCACTAAAAATACAACTTTTTTGTCTTCTGAGATGTTTTCGTATCTTACGTCGTTTTTGACAGAAAAAATAAAATATTTTGCTCCTTTTTTCAAAAACTACCTCTTATTATTTTTTCCGTTTGTGACCGGTAAATGTCCGCTTATTGTCCACTAAGACGCAAATAAAGTGTCGGACATTAGTCGACACAAGTCCGACAAAAGTGTAGAGATTTGATACCTTTTCTAATTTTTTTTAAATTTAGTAAAACAAGTAATAAAAATTTAAAATGGTATAAAATGGTATAAAACCTAGCTGTTATATAACAGGTTTTATACCATTTTAAATTTTTATTACTTGGTTTGAATATTCTTGAATTTTTTTAATAAAATTTGAAATTTGTCGATAAACTTCAGTGAATTAAATATTGAACCACTTTAATTTGAATTATCTTAATTTGGGGGGGCAGGAGGCTGGGGAGCACACTTAAAAACTAACTTTTTTTCGCTTCAACTTCAACTTAAATTCTGCTTGCGCGGCACTTGTCTATATAATGTAATTATAAACTGATATAAATTTGATGTGGGTCCCATGTCTATAGGCTGGTGGATTATCTCAGTTATTATAATAACTGAGATAATCCACCAGCCGCCACTATTATAAACCCAGGGATGTTTGCAAATGATGCGAAATTTTGCTGTGTTGAAAGAAACGGCTCCGGGTACTAAAATATTTACAATATAATTAAGGGTTCAGTCCCCACAAAGTAAATTTTAAAACTGGCGTTCTAGGCATCTATTAAGTGTAATAGTTATTTATGTCATTAAGGCTTTTTGTGCTAAGCTCAAGGTTTGACAATTGAGCGAAGCACAAAAAGGCACTTCTTGGCCGAATGGCATACAACATTTTATCTTCAAAGCACTTTATACAGGGTGTCCGGGAAAAGGAGGTCAATCCGTTAACCATATATTCCTTGAGTTAAAACAATAAGATTTTCATAATACCATTTTTCAATTTAGAGCTTTATGTTCGATATACAGGGCGACAAAGTTTGAAATTTAAAACTGATTTTTTTTAATAATTCGAGTAATTGATAAGATATTAAGTTCAAGTTCGGTACACTACTTTAACATAAATAGTTACATTTTTTGAGACCAACAAAACAAAAAACAATTGTCAAATAATCAAAATAGGGGGGTCCAGTACCCACTGACTCTCCCTATTTTTTAGTGCGTGCGCCAATGACTTCCAAACGGTATTTTTTCAGGTAATCATTTATTGTTAAAAAAAATTTGTCTCTTATAAAATTTTGATAAAATGATTTGTTTTAGAGATAATTTGTAAAGTATGGGTCAGTCCATATCAAATCAACTAAAGGTTCTTCCCCCACCATCTCCGATTTTGATAATTTTCGGTAAATTTGTTTACCTCACTAAAAAACTTAAAAATCCCACATATGAATTTTTTTCGATAGGTGGTTTTTGTTTTATTGATTTTTGAAAATCAAAAAATTCCGATAAATTTGGATATTGCAAGTACTTACAAAAATAGCGATATCTCGTAAAATATTAAAAGTAGAAAGGTGAGTAATGGCTTATTTTAAAGGTTTATTAGAGACCTTTTTTATGATATATCACATGACCAACATTTTTTCAAAAAAAAAATAAATTTCGAAAATTTGATATGGACTGACCCATACTTTACAAATTATCTCTAAAACAAATCATTTTATCAAAATTTTATAAGAGACAAAAAATTTTCAACAATAAATGATTACCTGAAAAAATACCATTTGAAAGTCATTGGCGCACGTACTAAAAAATAGGGGGAGTCAGTGAGTACTGGACCCCCCTATTTTGATTATTTGACAATTGTTTTTTATTTTGTTGGTCTCAAAAAATGTAACTATTTATGTTGAAGTAGTGTACCGAATTTAAACTTAATATCTTATCAATTACTCGAATTATTTAAAAAAATCAGTTTTAAATTTCAAACTTTGTCGCCCTGTATATCGAACATGAAGCTCTAAATTGAAAAATGGTATTATGAAAGTCTTATTGTTTTGACTCAAGGAATATATGGTTAACGGATTGACCTCCTTTTCCCGGACACCCTGTATAGGTCAATTTAATTCAACATCAAAGCGGCCTAACCTCACTTTTTTAGAATCTCATTTATTTATTAGCTAAAGATTACATTAAATGTACAATATTTATTATTGCTTTTAGAAACAGTAATAGTTTGATAATACCTAGCAACATGATTTAAGTAGAAATGGAATTTTGCTATTACATTGAATTCAATTAATTGTTTAATAAATAGGTAGGTATCTAATTTCAATTTGTTTGGATTTTTATTTAAAAAATAGGTAGTTTGGAATGTTTAAGCTGTGTTTAACATTTAATTTCACTGAAAACTTAAAGCAAATTAAAACTTAAAGATAATTTAAATCGTAGAAAAAGAATCGTGGGTTTTCTTGGTTGCCTAACCTCACTTTTTGTTTTATTATTCATATTTAATTTTACAATAATTTAATGAAAAAAATTAAACATTAACAGTAAAACAAACAAATTAGTGCTTATTATAAATAAATTAAACAAGTTTAGAACGTTAATTTCTTAGAAAAGGGTTAATTTGTCAAAACAATACCCCTAGCGAGAAAAAATCGAACTAATTACTTGCCTCATAAAATTTTTTATCGGCCTAGGCCATAACAAGGTATTTCTTTATCGAATGTTGACAACAATAAAGTTTAAATTATAGACCGCGTGGAGATAAAATGATTTATTCGAAACTTTTAACTCGTCTCCAGGTGGCGCTGTAGGTAGACAGCACTCCCCCCCAGCGTCTGCCGAAATCGAAGGCGATGAAGGTGAAGTGATCAGCATAGATTCGCCCACTATGCCTCAAAGTGACATCGCCGCCCTTTTGCAAGAAGTTACGCCTCTTCCGCAAGAACTCTGCCAAAACGTACGGTCTGATATTAGGTAGGAATAATATACACACTAGACTGGGCCAAAAGAAATCAACTATTTTTTTTTTGAAAAGTATATCAAAAATATGGTTTGGGGTGGCAAAAAAAATTATTGTGAAAGTTTGAGTCCATAATATTAATATTAAGAGGTGTATCATCGCAATTTTAAACTTTTTTCCTCAGCAAGTTTTTGTCTCAGAACTCCCAAACCATTGAGTTTAACAAAATTGACTCAAAAATATTTTTTTAAGAAAATTAAAATCATGCCTTAAAAATTGGTATAGTTTTACATTTTGATCTTTTAACTTTGGAATTTTGTAATTCATGTAAAAATCAGTACCCATAAAAAACCGATAAATATTCTTATGGGAAATCAAATGCTTTACAAAAAAAGCATCTTAACATTTTTTGCTAAATTCACTCAATCAAAAGTTATTCAAGGTTAAGGTTGAAGTCAAAACGAAATTATTGTTTTTTCCTCTGTAGATTTATTTTTTTATGGATGATAATTTGATTGTTTTCTTTATATAACTAATTAACAATTTCCAATAAAAAAACAACATGATTGTTATTATTTAAACGATTAAATAGGTAACAGTGAAAATAATATGTTCTAAAGAAAATATCTTCTTAAAGCGAAAAAATTCTAATGTGTTATTTTTTAGATTTTCATCGATAAAAGAATCCAAGTTTTTTACTGACCCAAAAAAAATCTAGAGCGGAAAAAACAAGAATTTCGTTTTGACTTCATATTTAACCTTGAATAACTTTTGATGGAGTGAATTTAGCCAAAAATGTTAAAAGATTTTTTTGGAGAGCATTTGATTTCCCATAAGAATATCTATAGGTTTTTTTTCTGGGTACTGATTTTTACATGAATTACAAAGTTCCAAAGTTAAAAGATCAAATTTTAAAACTATACCAATTTTTAAGGCATGGTTGTATGAAAACGGTTCATCTGACGGAGCATTCCTATTAAACCTTTTTTGTAGAGCATTTAATTTTCTTCAAAAAATATTCTTAAGTCAATTTTGTTAACTCAATGGTTTGGGAGTTCTGAGACAAAAACTCGCTCATAAAAAAAATCTAAAATTGCGATGATAGACCTCTTAATATTAATATTATAGACTCAAACTTTCAAAATAATTTTTTTTGTCACCCCAAACAATATTTTTGATATACACTAAAGTGCAAAATAATCGATCCAAACAAATTTTCGATGAATTTCAATCGCAAATAACTTTTTTATTTGATGTCGGATTTAAACGAATATTAAAGAATATTGTAGATAAATTAATGGACAATCGCTCACATTTTAAAAAAATACTAAAAAATAGACTTACGTTTATAATATACAGGGCTTAAACAAAAATATGTTTTTTACCATAAGTTTAAGACACTCTGTAGAGTGGCAAAACTGTATATTGTTCTAAATTAAGTTTTATTTATCAAGTCACATCTATTCTTAACAGTTTTGTTTTTGGTTCACCTCGATATATTTATTTTTGAAAAATATGGATTTTTTAAAAAAACATTGCAATTTCCAATATTTTTCTGTATGAAGAACTAAGGTTGCTATGGTCCATCCATAGGCTATGGAGGATGACAGTGACAGTTTTGTTGAATCATCCCATACTTGGACATATCATACACGGCTTTCAAAAGCTATCAAATTGTTTTTTGCAAATTAATGTTTAATTTTGAGGTGTCTTCTTACTTTTTAAAATGAATATGTCTCCGACTGATGTTGCCAGAGCTATTAATTTAATCCAGGATGGACGGTCACAGTATTACGTGGCAAGTGTTTTTAACGTCATAAGAAGTTAAGTACAAAGGGCAACATCAGTCGGAGACATTTTTAAAAGTAAGAAGACACCTCAAAATTAACACATTAATTTACAAAAAACAATTTGATAGCTTTTAAAAGCTGTATATGACATGTCCAAGTATGGGATGATTCAACAAAACTGTCACTGTCATTCTCCATAGGCTATGGATGGACCATAGCAACCTTAGTTCTTCATAGAGGAAAAATATTGGAAATTGCAATGTTTTTTAAAAAAATCTATATTTTCCACAAAAATAAATATATCGAGGTGAACCAAAAACAAAACTGTTAAGAATAGATGTGACTTGATAAATAAAACTTAATTTAGAACAATATACGGTTTTGCCACTCTACAGAGTGTCTTAAACTTATGGTAAAAACATCTTTTTGTTTAAACCTGTATATTATAAACGTACGTCTATTTTTTAGTATTTTTTTTTAAATGTGAGCGATTGTCCATTAATTTATCTACAATATTCTTTAATATTCGTTTAAATCCGACATCAAATAAAATAGTTATTTGCGATTGAAATTCATCGAAAATTTGTGTGGATCGATTATTTTGCACGTGAGTGTAGTTTACAAAAAAAAATAGTCGATTTTTTTGGCCCAGTCTATCACAATCTTGAATGTCGCATTTCAGGAGATCGTTTAATTTACAATTCGTGAGCTCCTACATGGCAGTTTGGGAGGAAACGAATTGCAATTCCAGCAGCATAAGCGACCGCCACGTAAAGGAACTGCTGCAAGAATACCAACAGCGAAACGAGGAAATAACCAAAGCTTCCAGTCCCGGTCACGGGGATTCCCCCACGGAAACCGCCTACGAGAAATACGAGAAGAGTAATCCGGCCCACGGGGACAAAATGTTTTACCATTTTATGTCGAAAATACAGACCAATCCTGCGCAATTACTAAGGTAAAAAAAGAAGTGTTAAGCAAAGTCAAAATTAATTTAAATGAAGCCACATAGTTATTGGACACTTAAGGAATATTATTTATTTAAAATTTATATATGCCGTTGTTTTAAAGATTTTAGTTTTTTCTTATAAATACACTCACAGGCAAAATAATCGATCCACACAAATTTTCGATGAATTTCAATCGCAAATAACTTTTTTATTTGATTTCGGATTTAAACAAATATTAAAGAATATTATTTAATGCAGAATCGCTCACATTTTAAAAATTACTAAAAAATACACGTACGTTTATAATATACAGGTTTAAACAAAAATATGTTTTTAACCATAAGTTTAAGACACTCTTTAGAGTGGTAAAACCGTATATTGTTCTAAATTAAGTTTTAATTATCAAGTCACATCTGTTTTTAACAGTTAGGTTTTTGGTTCACCTTGATATATTTATTTTTTTGGAAAATATGGATTTTTTTTTAAAAACATTGCAATTTCCAATTTTTTTTCTGTATGAAAAACTAAGGTTGCTATGGTCCATCCATAGCCTATGGAGGATGACAGTGACAGTTTTGTTGAATCATCCCACACTTGAGCATGTCATATACATCTTTCAAAAGCTATCAAATTGTTTTTTGTAAATTAATGTGTTAATTTAGAGGTGTCTTCTTTTAAAAATGTCTCCGACTAATGTTGCCCTTTGTACTTTAATTCTTGTGACGTTTAATACACTTGCCACGTAATACTGTTACCGTCCATCCTGGATTAAATTAATGGCTCTGGCAACATCAGTCGGAGACATATCCATTTTTTAAAGTAAGAAGACACCTTAAAATTTAAACATTAATTTGCAAAAAACAATTTGATAGCTTTTGAAAGCCGTGTATGACATGTCCAAGTATGGGATGATTCAACAAAACTGTCACTGTCATTCTCCATAGCCTATGGATGGACCATAGCAACCTTAGTTCTTCAAACTGAAAAATATTGGAAATTGACATGTTTTTTAAAAAATCCATATTTTCCACAAAAATAAATATATCTAGGTGAACCAAAAACAAAACTGTTAAGAATAGATGTGACTTGATAAATAAAACTTAATTTAGAATAATATACGGTTTTGCCACTCTACAGAGTGTCTTAAACTTATGGTAAAAAACATCTTTTTGTTTAAACCTGTATATTATAAACGTACGTCTTTTTTTTAGTAATTTTTTAAAATGTGAGCGATTGTCTATTGTCTACAATATTCTTTAATATTCGTTTATTTTGCCTGTGAGTGTATATAAAAAGAATAGTTTGTTTTCTTAAACTATATTTACGTTTACTTAAAAATAAAAATATTTGAATTTTTAATATTGCTTTTATAAAAACATGCATGTATAGTAATTGGACATTTTATATAGTTATTGGACATACAATTTTTATATAAACATAACAACTTTACATCAAAATAACATAAATTGTTAAATATTTTTTTAATGATAAATTGCTGATTTAGGTCATTTTTTTATTTCGTTTTTGTAAATATCATATATTTCTTTCTCGGATTCCTCATCCCTTTTCTGGATTCTGAAGGTAACTACTAATTCCTTGGTCTGACTTCTGAAATAGTTTGTTGCAAATATCATTAAGTGTGGTATCTCTAGTTTGTGAAGCATTTATAATGTTTAGGCCGAAACAGGATGATTTATTTATATCTAATATTTTTTCGGGTGGTATGTTAAAAGTATTTTCCGAATTTATTAATTTTGTTGCCATTAGTTTTTTATGTTCTCTATCATGCACTGTATTTAAATCACTGATATTCTGCAAGATGTCCTGTAACGAAGAAATCACCATATTACTTACTCTCTAAAAATGAATTAGTCAAGAATGTCATAGCGAAAAAGCAGCCACTAATAATTCTCGTCAACAGCAATTTATATCCAGGACATTTAGCAGTCAATTCCTATGAAATATTATTCGCTGAATCCGAAAATGTCGTCAAAAGTTAAAGTTGAAGTAGAACAGTTTTTGATATAGAATCAATTTTACATATAATATAAAATTGACTATATCTCAAAAACTGCTTAACTTTTATAGTTTTTGAATGTCTTTTCGGATTTAGGGGACAATTTTACACAAGAATTGGGTGGTAAATGCCCGGCATACAAATAGAATATGATATTGGACATATGTCCAATAATAGAAATTTACTCTTTTTACCAACCAGTAATTGGACACTGGCCATTTTACTGTTTGTTTTTAGAATTAAAATTAAAACGCATTAAAGTGACAATGTTTAAACCATGAGGAACACATTTATACCACACACTGATCTGTACACTTTTTAGAAATATTTTTTATTGTAATTTAAACACAGCCCTGCTCTTAAGAAAAAAACAAAAATCTTACCACCAAAGTAACGTGCGAACTTTTTTGTCCTATATTGGACTCAAAATAAAGTAGTTCTATATTATTACCGACTGAGATAGTTATAATTGTATACTGCGTCATCTAATGATTTTACTTTAAGGTAACTATTTGGGTCATTTTCAAGAAACATTCAGGAAAATGAAGATCAAATTTTTTTGTTGCTTAAATTGACTTTTGGTTGGATTTTTATAAATGTTTAGAGTTTTGTTTACTTACTCTAATTTATAAACAGGTATTAACAAGTGATAGTAAAATCATTTTAAGGATTTTTTTTAACAAAAACTAAAAAAAGTAACTAAATAGACATTGGTATCACAACGGACTGGGGTACATAAAGGACATAAAGAAACTATATAGGGTGGTACGATTTTAGAGTAATGCATAAACAAAATCCCTTGTAGTGGTGCTCACTTGCAGAATAACAACTTAGATTTCTAAATTATAGACACCCTTTTTCTTTGACTATAAGCTGGTTTTACTATTACTTGTATATTGCGTGGAATTTTCCCTTGGATGTAATCTATATCATGAGTTGTAATCACAAATAATTTTAAATTGGTTTATCATAAACTACTTTTAATAAAAGCGACGGTAAATATCCACTTTGTTGTCGAAAAATTCTATTGCGTTACCCTAAATTCCATTGCGTTACCATAAGGTAACGTAATGGACTCCGTAACGCAGTTTTGTGAAACCATATTTAAAAGATAATAATAAGACATTACAGTCATTAATTACTCTCAATGAGCTTTAGTGCCCTAAAATAAACATAAACATGAAAAATAGTATTTTTTCTTACCTTATTTTTATTTTTTTTTTGAGTAACTTAGCGGACAAACAATTTTTTCTTATGAATATTTCCAGTGATGGGTCAAGAAAGTTTCTTAAAGAAACTAAGAAAATTGAATGTTGACAAACAATTATTACATTCGCGTTACCCGCACCTGTTTCAACCGATATCTTCTTTCTGATTGAATAAATAAATTCAGCTGGGTAATGTGTACGTCCGAACATCATTTGTTGATCACGAGAGTGCCAAAAAAGTTGCCATATATATGTTTTTTTAAATATTCTATCGGTAACGCGACGGACGTAACGTAACGGAAAAAATGCCTGGGACATGAGTCAAATTTAAAAAAAGTAGATTAAAATTAATTAATTTATATATAAATTGTTTACTGTATTAACTAAGGATGTTATGGATTGCTATAAAGCAACACAAAGTTCTGGTTATTCAATATTTAAAAAAAAACATGTATGTAAGTTTTATAAAACGCTAATGCGAAAATGTGTGTTTTACAAGTTTCAAAATTAAAAAAAAATTATTCTGATATAACTAAACAAACATTTTCTGAAAGAGCTTACTAAGGGCTTGTTAGGCTTTCACTTGGTTTTTAAATCAATAAGATCCGATAATTTTTAACAAAGTTATTGGAATTCAAACTTACGGACAGCGGAAGGCGGGTGTTTTTTGAAAACGACCCATTTATAGAACTCTTGTTTTTACAGTATTAATGTTAATGTCCAATAACTATAAAGTGTCCGATAACTGTCTACTTTACCCTAATTTTGACTTTGCTCAACTCAACACAAATTTTCAATGCATTTTTAGATATAGTCGTGATATGGAGTCGCCTTTACTCCTTTACCCTGTACAGGAAGTTCCGAAGAAGTGCCAGCATTGTCAGGGCCCTGTAACATTCGAATTTCAGCTGGTTCCAACTTTAATCACGAAGCTGAAGCTGATTGGCGACGCGAAGCCTTGCGCACGCGTTGAATTCGGTACCGTGCTAGTCTACACTTGCCAAAGCAGCTGTTGGGCGACCGATGGGCAGGTAAAAATTGAGTCTGTGATCGTGCAAAAGGAACTTTATTAACAAGCTTGAAAACTGAGACTACACTCACGTGCAAAATAATCGGTTCACACAAATTTTCGATGAATTTCAATCGCAAATAACTTTTTTATTTGATGTCGGATTTAAACCAATATTAAAGAATATTGTAGATAAATTAATGGACAATCGCTCACATTTTAAAAAATTACTAAAAAATAGACGTACGTTTATAATATACAGGTTTAAACAAAAAGATGTTTTTTTACCTTAAGTTTAAGACACTCTGTAGAGTGGCAAACCCGTATATTGTTCCAAATTAAGTTTTATTTATCAAGTCACATCTATTTTTAACAGTTTTGTTTTTGGTTAACCTCGATATATTTATTTTTGTGGAAAATATGGATTTTTTTAAAAAACATTGCAATTTCCAATATTTTTCCTGTATGAAGAACTAAGGTTGCTATGGTCCATCCATAGCCTATGGAGAATGACAGTGACAGTTTTGTTGAATCATCCCATACTTGGACATGTCATATATAGCTTTCAAAAGCTATCAAATCGTTTTTTGTAAATTAATGTGTTAATTTTTAGGTGTCTTCTTACTTTTAAAAATGTCTCCGACTGATGTTGCCCTTTGTACTTTACTTCTTATGACGTTTAAAACACTTGCCACGTAATACTGTGACCGTCCAACCTGGATTAAATTAATAGCTCTGGCAACATCAGTCGGAGACATATCCATTTTATAAAGTAAGAAGACACCTCAAAATTTAAACATTAATTTGCAAAAAACAATTTTATAGCTTTTGAAAGCCATGTATGACATGTCCAAGTATGGGATGATTCAACAAAACTGTCACTGTCATTCTCCATAGCCTATGGATGGACCATAGCAACCTTAGTTCTTCATACAGAAAAATATTGGAAATTGCAATGTTTTTTAAAAAAATCCATATTTTCCACAAAAACAAATATATCGAGGTGAACCAAAAACAAAACTGTTAAGAATAGATGTGACATGATAAATAAAACTTAATTTAGAACAATATACGGTTTTGCCACTCTACAGAGTGTCTTAAACTTATGGTAAAAAACATATTTTTGTTAAAACCTGTATATTATAACCATACGTCTATTTTTTTTGTAATTTTTTAAATTGTGAGCGATTGTCCATTAATTTATTTACAATATTCTTTAATATTCGTTTAAATCCGACATCAAATAAAAAAGTTATTTGCGATTGAAATTCATCGAAAATTTGTGTGGATCGATTATTTTGCACGTGAGTGTATTTTGCATTCACGATATTATATTATAGGCTAAATTGTACACCATTTCTTCCAACAATCTATCACAAAAATAGTCGAACGTTTTGTTTGGATTTCACTTAAATTGTCTGGTTCAAGCCAAAAACCAAGCCTTTACAATTAGGTAAAACGTATAAATGTACTAGAACTTAGTCAATTATAATTGACTGGTTTACAGCCATTTTGCCCACCTGTCTCACTATGATTTTCTTGTGTAGTTTGGCTCACCAAACGCGAAAATCGCACTTAAAATTTTTTTCATGGAAGCGTTTTTGAGATATGAATTTTCAATTGTTTTTTTTTAATTTTCTGGGGTGTTTTGTCGTTTTAGAGTATACTTCGAGTTCTAATTGATCGATTTGACCAAACAAGCACTTATATCAAAGGTAATTGAGCCCTCTAGAACTTTCTCTTGTATAGTTTTGGTATCGGCTCAGTAGTTCGATACTGGCGATTTTATGAAGTTGAAAAAGTCCTTTTTTAATGTAAATTTTCGACCTCAATTTTTGCCATAAAAACAAATTTTTTAAGTTATTAAAATCTATATCGTCAAAATACTTATCCGATATCAAAAGTATGTAAAAGAGGGCTCAAATTTATTAATACCTTCAATTTAAGGGCTTGTTTGACCAAATCGATCAATTAGATTTCAAGCTATACTCAAAAACGTCAAAACACCTCCGAAAATTGAAAAAAAACAATCGAAAATTCATATTTTAAAAACGCTTCCATAAAAAAGTATGATTTTCGTGTTTAGTGGGTCAAAATACATGGAAAAATTATAATTGGATATGGTGGGCAGAATTTTTTTTCCATTTTGTAAACTAGTGTTATCTGTACTGACTTTTTACTATGTCCATAATACAGCTTTATAAATATATATTTACCCAATTTTGAATAGTGTAGTTGTTTTTTAATGCTTATATATATTTTGTCCATTATTTACATTTTTCAAATTTTTTACCCAACCAAAAAAGGTTATGAATTAAAAAAAAAATTCCTTTGTTGTTTTTGTTATTTTTATAATATAGAAAAATAATATTCGGACACAGTGACTGTATATAGCAATAGCTTTTCATTTTCTTTGTTTTTAAATGAAGTTTACAAAAAAAAATTATTCAGAAATATCTTTTATTTATTTTCTTACTTTTTCGAAAAACATTGAAATTTTTTTGATGAGATTACCACTTTTAATTTCATTTTTTTTTCTTAGCAGAGATATTTTTTTTTCAATTCGAAAAAAGTAGAAAACGACAATACGCCATTGAAAATTTCAGAGAATTTGCAGAAAATGACAATCATCGAGAAATTTTTGTTGAAGATCGTGTGAAATATTTTTTTCTATATTTTTCTAAAAAGTACATTTAAAAACCAAAAACTTCTCAATAAGTCAATTTTTGATAAAGCCAATTGTTTGAAAAATTCATAACTTTTTTTGGTTGGGTAAAAAAATTCAGAAAAGTCTAAAAAATGTTTTTGATGGTGTAAAAAAATCAAAAGTGGCCGATTTGGTATGGAATGCCCCATATATATTTCTTTTCAGGTTATAAACATAAATTTTACTACCCCATTGTAAAAACAACTTATTTTTTATTTACTATAGTAAATATACAGGTCCATAATTATGGAATTAAGGGAAAGTGGTTTTAAATAAATAATAACAATATTTGAAATTTTTGAAATTTAAAAAAAAGTAATTTTAAATTTTGCTTAAGCAATGAAATTTTTTTTGTACATTTAAAACTGCTGATTATGGACAACCTGATACGTTTAAAATGGTTGTCTACATTTTAAAATTAATTAATTGCAACTACAAAAAAATTTTGTTAGCTATGTCAGAAGTAAACAGAAAATATTTATAAAAAAGAGAATTTAACAGTTTTATTGATTTAGGTACTTTATTATAGAACACCTTTATTTTTAATTATTTTTTTACTTTACTAATATTTAGATGGATCCATTTCCAATTATGTTTGTTGCATTTATGCAGGTATATCTTGTGTATAAACAAATAAATAAATTTTACGAGCTATTTTAAGAGTTTTATTTAAAATATGTATGAAAAAAGTATACCATACTTCTGAAGTAAAAGCAATAGATATTCTATTTCAATAAATATTTAAAATACCAATATAATCAAATGTGCCAAAAGTGAGTTAAAAAAAACAACTGAACTTTACGTGTATGGAAACCTTTAAGGAAAACCAACTTTTGCTCAACAGATGTCACTAGTGTAAATGTCAAAGATTGACAACTGAATGTTTTTCTGCAATTGTTTACAAATGTCATAAACATTTCGGGTTTTTGTGTTTTATTTCAGTTTAACGTTAATTCTTGCGATTTGATGTGATAATATCGCGTAAGAACATTTATAGATGTAGTGTAGTGTAAGGTTATGGCCGATACGGATTGTTTGAGTGAAAGTGCAAGCTCTGTGTGCGACGAGGAACGAGTGAGACGTTTATTTCAGGCCTGCGATGCCAATAACGATGGCTACATAGATAGGTACTGTCTGTCCACTCTAAGTTGGCTGAACTAAGGAATTTTGTTGTTTATATATTAAAGAATTGTCGTACTGTGTGCTTTTAAAACAGATTTTATATTATAAATAATACTAGTATATAATATGTACTAGTATTATTTATAATATAAAATCTGTTTTAAAAGCACACAGTACGACAATTCTTTAATATCTAAACTACAAAATTCCTTAGTTCCGCCAACTTAGAGTGGACAGACAGTAATTTAAAATTTATCGCACACATGGTATTATTCATATACATCTACTTTGCAGCCAAGATTTGCTAGCTATATGCAGAGAACTAAGCCTGGAGGACTCACTCGATGAGTTAATGTTACAATTAGGGGCAGATTCTCAGGGAAGAATATCCTATGATCAGTTCCTTCAACGTAGACTTGCACTGCGCCCTGAAATAGACGCTCTTAAGGGCAATACTAAAGACAATACAAGTGATCTTAGCCAAGGTAAATTGATTTTTTAAATACTTTAACTACAAATTCCCAAAGAACTGTCAAAATATTTAAACTTTAACACGTTGACTGCGTCGTCGGTCTCCGGGGACCGATGGCGCAACTGCGTTTCTATGCGGCTAGATATGTGCTTAAACTACTCATGGTGCGGGAGCTGTATCTTCGAAACGAAAACCTCTATTTTCGCATTAAATATGGCTTTTTGATCCTTAAGAGGTACAGAACTTTAACAAACGTCTAACCTTCCATCGGTCTCCGGAGACCGGTACCGCACTGGAGTAATATTTATTTCTAACATGCGTTATCGGTCCCCAGATACCTATATTTAAATCAGCTGTTTTCTGTCAAATTTTGATTTTTTTAACAGTTTATCAGAAAATTGATATTTTGTGTTTGTAAGCAATATGTATATTTATTTCTTAAGTAATAAATAACGTTGAAATAAAAAAGTTTTATTTGAAGCTAAAATAATTTTAAAAATGATATAGGTAACTAAATGTTAACCATCTTTCTGTGCGGTTACGGTCCCCGGAGACCGATGCTGACGATGTCACTTCTGTTGGGGGAATTGGTAAACAGAATCCTATACAGAAAATACTGATATCATTCATAAATTTTGCGTCAGATGTCGCTTTATCTTTTTTAACATATCGGTCCCCAAGGACCGATACCGCACAGCAGACTTTACCAGCATCGGGCTCAGAAGACCGATACCGCACTTGAAAGATTAGGCTCAGTTTTAGCATCCGCATTCAACGTGTTAAAGAATACTGGGTTTAAAGTTTCACACCCAGCAGTAGAAAAAATTTAAATAAGACAACTGAGGTTGACAGTTTGTGTCAATAAATCAAAACAAGTTATTGTTATCACCATAAAGAAATGTTTTCTATCCTTTAATAGGTATAACATAAAAAAATAAAACTTAATTTTTAACATTTAATATTGTTTAGCCATTCCAATTTTTGTCCATTATTTACAGACTTTCTGTAAAAATTTTAGGTAAATTGGATCGTTGGGAATGGGATTCAGGTGCTAGAGATATGAGTCCTGTGCCAAAAGCAATTGGCAGAACAGTAACAAACGAAAAATTCGTCGAGGATGAAATAATAAAGGTAAGAGCATGAATAAAACTGTTTTGTACTATATTTCAATAAATATTTTGAACAAATAAATTTATTTAGTAATTTATATCATAATCAAGCATTCTTCGTGATATAACCCACCATATATTCATAAAACCAACATCAAGGACACTATCAGCAAATTTTCTGTATTGTACTTTGAGATGTGAGCAGTTGCTTTCATAAGTATCACATTCCTTACTGTAATTATCGACCCATATAAGGGAGAATAGACCAAAACTATTGTAACGGATTAAATTTGCATTGTAACATTGTTCAATGTATTTTACATGCCTCATTGATTCAGGGTTTGCCACACTCACTGAAACCACCGATAAATCGTTAGCGCACTGAACGTATTTCGCTCTGAAGCTCTGTTGGTTAGGATTTTGAGTTGCGATGAATGCCAACGATGATAAACCTGTTACAGTCAATGCTGCTTTAATAGGTTTTTCTCTTGCTTCTTCTTGCAGTGAGAGCGCTACATCTTTGTAATCTTTACATAATAGTTTCCAATATTTTACCCATTTCTCCAAAAACGTACCCTTAATTTTGTACTCTGTTTTTTCCACTATGTTTTTGAACTGCGTCGAGGTTCTGGCTGTGAATGTCGAAAATTTTATTTTCCGTATGTTACTCATCGTGTTTAATTTAAATTATTGTTTATAGTTATATTTTGTGCATTTTTAATTTGCCCTCTAATTTTTCACGCTTATGTCAAACTTAGTGAGGTTATGAAACCTGCGTAATCTGAGTTGCATACTTTCAGGGCCATGTATGATAATTATGATATTATCACCTATGTCAGTTGATTAGAGGGTGTTAAAAATAAACAAAATCTTATTAATTATGATATAAACGATAATATTAAAAAAAAATCTATTGCAAATAAGCAATTATAAACTTTTCAGTTACCTACTATTTTATAATGTAATTCAATATGCTATAGATTTTGATGAAGATAGTATGAATGATGTAAAGGTAATACAAAACATATCATATCGTCGCTGTTCTGACAAAGAGGCGTAAGGGACATTTTTTCCATATTATGTATGTATGTATATATGTACCTATGTATTTCCTTTTGTCAGATCATAGATTCAACCGTAAAAAATCACTTAGTGAACTTAACTCCAATATGGAAAAAATGTCCCTTACGCCTCTTTGTCAGAACAGCGACGATATGATATGATATAAAATATATATCAGCATATCCGATACCCTGTTTTAGATTTTAATCGGAAAAAATTAAATTAAATTAGTTGTCAATAGAACTCGCAAAAATAAAAAGAAAAGTTTATATAAATTTAGTTAACTTATGAACCTGTATGTTTTAAAGCTTCGTGTTCAAAGTACAAGGTGGTAAAGTTTTTTAAAAAATATTTATTGTTTTAAAAATTTCACATATTAATCAATGGTAGAAGTAAGAATTAAGAAATGCTTGAATATAAACGTATAAATTGGTAATCAAAAATGTTAATTAAAATATTCTTGGTTTATTCAATTGTTACAGTTATGCATTAATTTGTTAATAAAATATTTCATAATAGTATATTATGTATCAAGTTTGATACACGCCATTTTATACACGAATTTAATTTAGGCACGAGCGAGCTTGCGAGCGAATGCTTAAATTAATGAGTGTATAGAAAAGTTTATAAACGAGGTGCATACTATAATTTTTTAACGACAAATATTTATTATTATCTTAAAATGATTTAAATCAAAAATTTGTATAGAGCGCAATCTATGAAACAATAGGGGAATCTGTGTGTCACCGTCAAATGTCAATTTTTTTTATTTTATAAACACAGATTATAAATCGAAATGTATTTCTTAAAAATTGGCAGTTTTTCACAGTGAAAGTAAAGAAAATGTTTTATGAGCACTTTACAGTGGAGTCCGTGTCCGAATTTAAGTTATAGTTTACTTCCGGCGTAAAAGGTCAGTACAATTTTTATATAAACTTTTCAAATATTGGCGTTGAGGAACTATTTAATACTTTTGTATTTTTTTATTGAGATAATAAAACAATTTTTACATTTAGTATTATTTTACAAGAAAGGCACTTTATTTTTTAACGATTGTATGACATTTGACAACTGTCAACTAACTTAAAACTAACTTTAGCCCGTGACTAAAAACCTGTTGCTAACTTCAGCCCGTGGCTAAAGCGCCATAAAGCCACAACTTATCAATGTGTATTTAAAAGGTCACTTAGTGTCATGGAAACATGTACGATAAAGGGCGTTTTAAAGGTGGGAGTAGAAAAAATAAATTATATTATATTAATATATATTATATACAGCTATCCTACACTGCCCTACTATGGAGAAAGGCAGTAACTGCTAAACAAGAAATTCGTGGGAAATTAGCATAAACTACATTTTTATAAAAAGCAGTAGGTATTTAATTGATTTTTTTAACTTATGAGATATTTGACAGCATTTCTGTTTTGAATTCAGATACAAAATGTATAGACATTTTGTATCTGAATTAGCTTTACCATAGCACAAGAAAACGCATTTTGCATTTTTTTGTAGTTACTGCCTTTCTCCATAGTAGGACAGTACAGCTTTGTTGATTTTTTTTTAAATTAGCAAATACTGTTTGTATTACTTTTAAATTTTAAAAGTTATTTTATTTACAAAACACTTAATTAGTGTGAAGATGAAGATTCCAAAAATTTCACCCCCATATCCGCAAACCTAATAACAAAAAAGTTATAGGCTATATTTGATTGACGCGCATTTGTTAAATTTTAACAAAAAAATTAAATGCTCGAAAACTGTTTACTTTTGGTATGGCATGGTATAGTAATATTACTCAGAATTTTATGAACACTTAAGTGGATTATAAATGCTTTTAAAATTTCAAATTGATATCTTTTTCCGTTCCCCAAAAATGGACCACAAGAGTGAAACATCCTGTATAAACTTTTTTCTTATTTTTGCGAGTTCTATGGACCATACAATTTTCCCTATTAAAATCTGAGACACCCTGTGTATTGGTAAATCCACTAATACATACACTAATAAAATAACATATTCATAATATAAATAATATAATATTTTATAAAATTTATATTTAATATGATATTTTGGAACCCTGAAAAAAAAACAATTTATTTATTTATTGTTTATTTTTTACGTACTATTTTAAAGCTTGTGGATGCATTGATGGTCCAAAATAAAATAAAAGTTATTTGCATTAGAGTCATTCCAAATAAAAACACCAAATGGGGTGCACTGCTTGATTTTTATGATCTTTTAGGTATCAAATATGAAAATCCGTTGCCGTTTTAATTTTTGGATTCTTTACTTTTAATCGGCACTCTTTAGAAATCTGAAATCGTGTCAATTTCTTACTCTCTTTTAGTGGGCCAGAACTTTTTTTCTTTGACAAATATTGAATTTTGTTTTACTGTTCAGTAAGTGTGTTTTCGATATAAATTATTATTATCCAATTAGTTAATCTCATAAAAGAATGGTAAACCAATAAAGATTTATGAAAATTTGCCAATTTTTGTGATTTTTATCTGGCTCCTGTGCATATTCTACTAAATCTAGAAAGTTATTTTTCTTCAGGTATAAAGTACAATACAATAGAAAACGTAACTATTATTTTAAGTTTCTAGACTATCATTTTCTTTATTAAAAAAATTATTGAAACTTGATAATTCTTAAAATTAAACAATTTTTCCCCCAGAAATCATTATGTTGAGGAAAAAATAAAAATCTGAAACTTTCAGGAAATGTAGTTCCCACCTTCATCTTTTCGGTCCAGTTAGTCTTGTTTTGTTATTTTTATTCCTTTAAAAGATATATTAATTTTTTTAATGCCCGTTTAGTAGCGATATAATATTGTTTTATTTATAATTTAAAATTTAGATGGCTTTCATGTTTGATGGAGAAGTGTCAGAACTGTCAAAAATATTTCATAAATATTATTTGTGCGTATTTCTTTGGTAAATTTTGTGTAAGTGAAATTAATAAAGAGTTAATTTAAACGTATAAAAAATGCGTTAAGCAGTTTTTTGTCGATTTCTTTCACAAAACCAAGTTAGACTTGTTCTATTATTTTGATCCCTTTATATAGTAAGGCACTGAATAGTTAAAAGTTATATGTATGTATTTTAAATGTTAGTGCTGGAAAAAAATTTACACAATCTGTAAATACTTCTTTAAATTTTAGTTTTTAGGTAACTGGTTAAAATAAAACATGTTATAATAAAGGGGTTTATTTAGAATATTTTTTGGTTTTTGCTTTTTTTTTAACAATTTAAAACTTCTCAGAACTTAAATATTTTCTATGAGAAAGAGGTACAAAATTATGATATGCTCTTTCTTTTTTAATCGCAATTAAATTCATGAATCTCGAACACTCAGTCATTTATTACACTTGCAAACTTTTTGAAATCACAATTTAAATACGCACAAATAATATTTATGAAATATTTTTGACAGTTTTGACATTTCTCTACCAAACATGAATTGACTAAGTCAAAGCCATCTAAATTTTAAATTATAAATAAAACTAACAATATCGCTTCTTAACTGCATTAAAAAAAATATTATATCTTTTATATAGATAAAAATAACAAAACAAGACTAACTAGACTGAAAAGATGAAGGTGGGGACTATATTTCCTGAAAGTTTCAGATTTTTATTTTTTCCTCAACATAAAGATTTCTGAGGGCAAAATTGGCTAATTTTGAAAATTATCAAGTTTCAATAATTTTTTTAATAAAGAAAATGATAGTCTAGAAACTTAAAATAATAGTTACGTTTTCTATTGTATAAGTACTTGATACCTGAAAAAAGCAACTTTCTAGATTTAGCAGAATAGGCACAGGAGCCAGACAAAAATCACAAAAATCACAAAATTATTACAAATCTTTAGTGGTTTACCATTCTTTTATGAGATGAACTAATCAGATAATAATAATTAATATTAAAAACATACTTACTAGGCAGTAAAATAAAATTATAATCATTTCAATAATTGCCACAGAAAAAAGGTTTTAGCCTCTTATTAGAGAGTAAGAAAATGACACGATTTCAGGTTTCTAAAGGGTGCCGATTAAAAATAAAGCATTTAAAAATTCAAACGGCAACCGTTTTTCAATATATGATACCTAAAAGATCATCCTCAAATTTTTTCATTAAAATAAAAAATCATGCAGCGCACTTTTAAATTCATTTTTGGTGTTTTCATTTGGATTGACTCATTAGTAATGCAGTATTACCACCTTCAAAACTTTTAAAGGCTTGTTTAAAATAATCCTTTCATAGGAAGTTTGATTGTTAGGACATCCAATATAACTTTTTTATTTGCATAATTAAAGCAAAGTTTGACAACACTGGTCGCCGTGATTGCTTTCCAAGCCCTTTGGCAAACTTTAAGTTTTCGTAGATCCTTCTAAATGCATTCTCGAACGCGGGTCCATATCTAAGTAGGCAAGACTCGGGGCATAAACAGAAATAACCACATTAATTTAAACTATTTAAGCTGGAAAATACGCTGTACAAAAATAAAAACAACTTTTTTAAAGTTGCGAGTTTTAAAGTGATTTAAGTATACTAAATGAAAAATTTATTTAACTAATGGTTTACAAATCGGAAGAACGCAAAATACTTTTGTAATAATAATAATAATAATCTTTATTGTATTTCAACTAACATACAAAAGGTGGAAGTTGTGCTTACACTTTTATGTTAATTAGGTTAAA